GAACAACAAGCCTTTGAGCAAATTAAACGCAAGATTGTTCATTCAATGGCCCTTGGACCAGTCCGGACCAGGCCAGATGTAAAAAACATACTGTACATCCAGCTGGGGAGAATGGTCTTACCTGGAGCCTCTGTGGGGATGGTTGCAGCAATGGAAGCAGAGCAACTGGCAACACAGAATTAAACCCATCTGGGCTGCTGCACTGTGGCAAGGTATCACTGGCTGGGTGCAGAACCTGCTGGTGAAGGTACGCCGTGTAAATGCCTATGCACCCAAGAGTCGGGCCACTGAGGAACACCAGAACAACCAACAAGTAGCTAAAGCTGCTAAGATTAAAGTGGCTCAGATGGAATTAGATTGGCAACATAAAGGTGAATTATTTTTGGCCCGGTGGGCCCATGACACTTCAGGCCATCAGAGCGGAGATGCAACATATAGATGGGCCCATGATCAAGGGCTGGACTTAACAATGGACACTATTGCCCAGGTTATCCATGAGTGTGAAACATGTGCTGCAATTAAACAAGCCAAATGGTTAAAGCCTCTTTGGTATGAGGGACAATGGCTGAAGCATAAATATGGGGAGGCCTGGCAGATTGATTATATCACACGGCCACCAACCTGCCAAGGCAAGCGCCATGTGCTTACCATGGTGGGAGCAACCACCGGATGGCTGCAAACATACACTGTGCCCCACACCACTGCCCGGAACACTGTCCTGGGCTTTGAGAAACAGATCCTGTGGGGACACGGCACCCCAGAGAGAACTGAGTCAGACAATGGGACTCATTTCCGGAATAACCTTATAAAAACTTGGGCCAAAGAGAGTGGGTATATCACATCCCCTACCATGCACCAGCCTCTGGGAAAATTGAAAGGTACAAGGGGCTGTTAGAAACTACACTGAGAGCAATGGGTGGGGGAACTTTCAAGCATTGGGATACACACTTACCACAGGCCACGTGGCTGGTCAACACCACAGGATCTGCCAACAGGGCTGGCCCAGCCCAGTCAGAACTTTCACATACTGTAGAGGGGGACAAAGTTCCTGTGGTGCACATGAAGAATTTGCTGGGGAAGACAGTCTGGGTTATTCCTGCTTCAGGTAAAGGCAAACCCACTTGTGGGATTGCTTTTGCTCAGGGACCCAGATATACTTGATGGGTAATGAGGGAAGATGGGGAAGTCCAATGTATACCTCAAGGGGATTTGATTTTAGGGGAAAACAGCCAATGAACTTAATTGTATGCTGTTGCCTGCTGTGTAATACTTTTACAGCCCATCAACTAGATGTCTTCAGATCACCAGCAACTGGGTCTGACTTTCCTCTGACCATCATCCCAACCGAGAATGAACTTTGATAGAACCAGACAAGTTCTGCAGTAAAGGAACGATCAGTATCAGCAGGCAACAATCCAAGACTGCACACAGCCTCTCCTGCCCCAGAAGACTGCTACAAGAGATGGAACCTGACATCATGGACCAAATGGACTCAGCAGCATTATAGGAATCAGTCCATGCACTAAGAAATGACTTCTTTGTCTGTGTGTGTATGTGGATGTATATATATATAAGAGAGATGGCATATTGAAAATGTGGGATCTGAGCATGACCTGAATTGTATGGAATAAGGGGTGAATACTGTCCTGGGTTTAGCAGTAGCAGACATCTTTTCTCCTTCTTAGTAGCTGGTGCAATGCTGTTTTTTACTTTTGGCCTGGGAACAGATCTGATAACACTGATGTTTTTAGTTACTGCTCAAATGTTTGGTTTGACCAAGTGTGAGTCTCATGTTCTGCCAGGGAGGAGAGGAAGCCAGGAGGAAGCAGAGACAGGACACCTGACCCAAACTAGCCAAAGCAGTATTCCATACCATAGCACGTCATGCCCGGGATGCAGCTGGGAGTTACCCGGAAGGGCACTCACTGCTCAGTCAGCCTCAGTCGGTAGGTGGTATCGTATTCTCTTCGCTTGTTATTTCCCTTCTCAAGCAGCAGTGGTTTGTGTTATACCTTAGTTACTGGACTGTTCATATCTCAACCCGTGGGAGTTACATTCTTTTGGTTCTCCTCCCCATCCCTCCAGGAGTGGGGGGGAGGGAAGAAGAGGGGTGGGGTGTGAGCGAGCAAGACTGCGTGACTGACTGGGTTTTAAACCACGACACCTTCTCCTCACTAAGTTGCACCTCAGTTGCTGCTGGAAAAAGGCAAAACTACCTCTGTGCATGCCTGTTGGAGTATTTATATCGGAGCTGGTGCCAGATGCTCCTTACCTATCCCGTCTCTTAACAGGATTAACTTTCTCCTTGTGCTGTTAGCCCGGAGAGCACTCGGGCCCCCCCACACACCCTGCCTACAGGCTCAGGAGCCCCATTTAAGCTCAGTTCGGGGCTTTCAATCCCTCCTGAGCTATGCTGTATGAATATGGGTCTTCAGCTCATCCTGTACTGGACTGTTGGATGCTGACCCATGGACTGACTTCCTGACCTGACATCAGCCTCTCCTCGTTGTACACTGTAGACCTGCTTGGTGGTCATAGGTTTCGTCTGACCCTCATTACCCTCAGCTGCCCTGCAGATTGTCTTCCCGGCCTGGCCTCAGACCTATTTCACCCCCACAAAGCTGCCTGGTGACTTGGACCCTTGGCTGGCCCTGGCTACCACCTTTGCACCCGCCTTACTCCCCTGCTTGGATGCTGTGGGACAGGGCTGGCCAGTGAGTTCTCTGCCCTATTGGCTGGCATACAGTTCATGCTTTCAGCTCCCCATCCCTTAAGGAACAGCCAACCCTCACTGTGCTTATGGTTACAGAGGAAATTGAATGACAGACATGAGACAGACTTCTGAATGTCTTATGTGGCTCTGGGTAAAATGATGTACAGAGGGATGTACAGCTGGTCAGGCAGTACCTATGTCACCTCTTGGGCAAGTGCTGTCAGAAAAGAGTAGGAACAGCCAGTATTAAGCAAGTCGATCATCTTTAATGCTTCCATCAAGATGCAGGAATTGATGCTGGAAATTAATAATCCTGCTGCCCCCATTAAAATATACAAATGGCTTCACTCTGATTTTATCGAGCTGGGAGGCACTGGGGGTTTGTGAAGACTCACTGGTAAGGCTCAGAAGAGTTCCAGCAGGAAGTTCAGTGCATCATCTCAAATGACAGCTGCATTGCAAATGTCATGTGGATTCCTCTGATAGATCACCATGACAAGAAAAAGAGCAGCCTTCTTGTGAGGGGCTGTGCTTTCTGCTGTGTGCACAAATGTTCTACCAACCACCTTGGCTTGTGAAAGCAGATGTCGTGCAGTCTGCAAACATCTTGTGGTGCCCTAGAGCCATCTGCCTCCTCTGCCCAGCAGAACTGCAACAGGTCTGTGTGGAGAGAGGTTTCCACGCTCCGAGGAACCCCTGCTTGAGCAACATGCCAGCCAGGTCTTTCCCCTGCAAAGCTCCAGCTGCAGCTCAGAGATAGATGGAAGGGTTAACCATGAATAAGGTTGCACGGGTAGTGTCCTTTCAGGACATCCTTCATGTAAGACCCTCAGTCATGTTAGAAACATCCTGAGCCCCAGCAGGTCTGAGATGGCCCAAGCCTCTGACTTCCCTGAGATTTGCTGTGGATTGGCCTGGGTTTCACTGCTCTCTTCTCCTCTCGCCCTTCCTTCACCCCTGATGTGGAGTTCTGTGGCTACTGCATCACGCACCCCTCTGAAAGGAAGATCAACTTCCGAATCCAGACCAGAGGTATGGGATGTGCATTGTTTTCATGCTCAGGGCCATTCTTTTATGGAAACCCCTCTGCTCATGTCAGGTTTCCACCATGAGTCATTTCAATAAAGAAAACCACTCTTCTCCCTCTTCTCTGCAGGCACGGTACTGTAGTGCTGGGGTAAGGTCGATCTGCTACGTCCTGTCAGAGGTGATGGGTGCTTCATTTGCCCCTAAATCAGCAGAAGTTTTGGAAGGCCAACCCAAAGTGTGCTGGCATACTGCAATGAGATAATTTGCTTCTGCTTCTCCTTCTTGCTTGTCTGTCAGCTTTGGTCATCAGGCTGTGAACCAAAGCTCTCTTGAAAAGCCACATCAGCCTATGCTATCTTTTGACTTGCCTCCCAGAGGGGTCTGTGTTCCCTGTTAATAGGCAGCACTGACAACTCTGAGCCTCAGGCCATCACTCACTCCTTCCAGCACACCAACCCCTTCAGCTCAGTCCACTGCCCTCCATCTAGGCTCCACAGCTTTGTCTGCTGCCGCAGGAGGACAGTGTTATTTCATTCCTTCCTTAGGGGGCTGTTCCCCTGAGTATCTAGTTCGTGCTTGCTGACACTTTAATTTCCTAAAAATGAGTAGTGCTGAGGCTCTTCTTGTCAAGGGAACCCCTTCCCTGTGGAGTTACCTGCAGGATTTGACTCTGCCCTTCCTGCACCATAGCCTGGGCCTTAGCTCAGCTCTCAGGGTGCTGATGGTGGGCTGGTAGGAGGGAAGTGTGTGGCATGTGCCTGGTATAACAGCCTGTTCCCATCACGGGGGAACAACCACACTGCCCAGAGCAGTGAGGGAGAGGGCCACCAGTCCCTTTGGAAACCACTGACCCATCTTCTTTCCCAAAGGGGCCCTTCCTGCTGTTGAGCCATTCCAGAAAGGGCTGAACATGTGCTCAACACCTTTGAGGTGAGACTATTCCTGAAGAGTTCAGGGGGCTTTTCTGTCTCTTGGTCTCAGAGGTGAGAGAAAAGGGCTGACAGCTGTGTTGTAGGTATAAAGAACCTACAGTTATCTCAGACCTTCTCTGCATGACCTGCAGCATGGCCTGGCTTCCCGTTTGTTGAAGTGAATGTAAAGCTCAGTCACTTCTGAAGGTACCTGGAGCTCTGTCAGAGCTGCTCAGGGCCCTCTGCACTGGACAGAGAAGTCACAGCACAGAGCAGGGTGGTGGCAGGGGGTGTATGAGCCACTCAGGTATGTGCTGTTAACATCTGTTCTTTGCTCTTGCTTGCAGAGGAGCATGAAGAAGTACAGGGCCCAGAGGGAGGAAGAGATACAGTAGCATTTAGGGATGGCAGTCTCCATGGACATGGGTAATGTCTGTGTGTTGAATTCCCTGTGCCAAGTATTTCTGGTTGTGTATTTATCCTGGGTTCAGCAGTAGCAGTCATTTTTTTCTCCTTAGAAGCTGGTGCAGTGCTGTGTTTTTTACTTTCAGCCTGGGAACAGCACTGATAACACCGATGTTTTTAGTTGCTGCTCAGTAATGTTTACTCTGACCAAGGACTTTCTGAGTCTCATGCTCTGCCAGGGAGGAGGGGAAGCTGGGAGGAAGCAGAAACAGGACACTTGACCCAAACTAGCAAAGAGGTATTCCATACCACAGCACATCATGCCCACTATAGAAACTGGTGGAGTTACCCAGAAGAGTTGGATCACTTCTCAGTCGGGCTGAGTATCAGTTGGCGGGTAGTGAGTGGTTGTGTTCGCTTCCCTTGTTTATTTATTTCCCTTATCATTATTATTATTGGTGGTAGCAGTAGTAGGTTTGTGTTATATCTTAGTTACTGGACTGTTCTTATCCCAAACTGAGGGGGTTACATTTTTTCCATTCTCCTCCCCATCCCTCTGGGAATGGGGGGGAAGGAAGAGGGGGAGTGAGAGAGAGACTGCATGGCTGACTGAGTTTAAAACACTACAGTGTTTTATGACTGCTTTGATGCAAACCTGTATTTTCTCTAATAATGAAGATTATGGAGGCTGATGTTGCAGAGGTGACACTGTGTTCAGCTCAGCAAGGTATGAAAAATGATAGAAGGCAGTTCTTCCACTCTCTCTTTCCAAGCGTCATTGCTGTTTTCTGCCCAGGATTTTGAGATCACACAGTTTTCAGGTGGCCTTTTGCACAGGGCTAGTCTGCCCCACGTCCACAGGGAGCAGAGGGGCTCAGCACTGTGCAAAGTCCAGCTTTTAGAGAGGCAGCACCTTATCCCAGTTTCAATCTTTCTGTTGCAGGCACTGCTGCCGTTGACTTCAACAGATACAACCGGCTTTCCTTTTTAAACAGAGCACTATTCGCTTGCAGCCCAGAACCCCTCTGTGCTGGGCCGCATCCCCAGAGCATGAGCAGCAGTTGAGGGAGGGGATTCTCCCCCTCTGCTGTGCTCTGGGGAGACCCCCATGCAGTCCTCATCCAGCTCTGGAGCAACACCACAAGAGGGATGTGGAGCTGCTGGAGTGAGTTTAGAGGAGGCCACGGAGATGCTGTGGCGGTTTTGGAGATAGGCTGAGAAACCTGGAGAGGGGCTTTTTACAAGGCAATGTATGGACAGGACAAGGGGGAATGGCTTTAACCTGTCTGAGGGGAGATTGTCACTTACTGAGAAACAGCCAGGAGAAAGCCTCCTTTCAAACACCACCACATTTTATTAACATACAGAGGAATAAGAAGGAGTATAAGAGAAACAGTGTTGGTTTTGCATACTTGGGGATAGGGCTTTGCAAGATTTAGGCTTTCCAATATTAAGATTTTCAATACTGGGGCTGGGGCTGTTACTCAAGGAACAAAACAAAGGGTTTGAGATACCATAACTTAGAAAGACACACTCTGTGGTTAAAGACAATATCATCTCTGGATGAAAGATACACTCTGTGGTTAAAAAGAATACTATCTTTGTACAACCTATGACTAAACAGGTGCAGGTTGGTTAAACATAAGTCGGGGTACCACATGTCTGCCAGAGAGTTATGAAATCGAACCATAAAAAGAGATAAATAAATGAGAGGAAGGGGCATACAAAATCGAGTAAGGGGAGATGTAACCAGAGGTGGGACAGTTGGCATGCAGATTATACGCATCGGATAGTCTGTAAACCTTGGAATACCCAACCAATGGGGAAACAAGGGAGGGAACTTGTAGATGGGATAGGAAATGTAAATCATTGTTCTGACTTTGCTGTGCATGCCTACTTGCCAGGATACCCGTTTTTGCAATGACATTAATAAACCACTGCTTCACTGCTGTCTACCCTGAGCTTTTAGAAGAAAAGTTTTTTTTCTCACAGTTTCCTCCAGAGCCCAATGTCCCCACCCAGAGCCGCTTCACAGCTCTGCAGGGGGCTAACAGAGGAACAACCCCTTCCCGCACCAATGAAGAGGAAAGTTGCTAGTGCAGCCAGAAGCCAGTGGTGGTGTATAGCAGTAGGACATTCTGCTTTGAAGTAGAGGCACTGCATCAGGTTGCCCAAAGAAGTGGTAAAGACTCCGTCCCTTTCAGATGAAGAGACCAGGGTTAGAAGGGACCTTAAAACTCATCCAGTTCCAACCCTGGGCACAGTCAGGCACACCAGGCACACCCAGGAGTTGCTGTGAGTGGACCTGCCCTCGGCACAGCTCACCTATGAGAATGGGAGAGTGACCAAGATTTGCAAATAGATCCCAGAGTGATTTGGGTTGGGAGGCTCATCTAATTCTTACCCCCTGCCATGGGCAGGGACACCTTCCACCAGAGCAGTCTTCTCACAGCACTGTCCAAACTAGCTAGGAGGGGAATTGCCTGCAAGATTATAAGCAAAATCATTAAAAAGATTATCTTTTTACTGAAGTGTCTACACTGGGAGTTTTCAGTCTTCATCCTTTTTCTTCATTAACTTCATTTGTCCTCCAACACAACGCAGACAGCTCTGGGGCAGAGCACAGCAGCAGCGCTGTGGCATGGACACAGCCACATCTGCTCCTCTGGGTGGGTTGGTTTATGGAAAGGTACTGGTCTAGCTACTCGTCAGCCATTCTGCTTTCCTTGAAACACATTAGTCTTTCAGAAATGTCATTTGTTTGTAAAATATTTGCATTTCGGTGAAAGCAAAGCTAAGAAAACCCAACACCTGGAAAATTCTTTTCTTTATTTGCAAGTCTGTTCCCCCTTTGTCCTCTCTTTGGTTTTTCCCTAGGCAACATGAAAAGGGGAATGAAGAAAAGAAAGAGAGAGGTAAAAGAGAGAAGGGAAAAACAACAACAGTAATAAAAACTTGGTAAGTAGAACTTTCTCATACAGGTTTTAAAGTTTTGGCAAGATATGCAAGCATGATTTTTTTAGAAAAACACAGTGGGAAAGCACTCAGAAATTAATTAAATAATAAATTTGTGAACACTCTTTGCCATATTTTGGTTAGCTCTAGCAGCTCTTTTAGCTGATGTTGGATCTCCTCCGCTGGCTTTTCCACCACAGTTTGACCATGAGGATAAGCAGGAGTGTCATCCTTACAAATGGATGAACCTGGTGTCATGATGCTGTGGCCAAGAGACATCAGGGTCCAGCTCTGCTGCCCTTTGGAGCTTGGCCTTGTTGGCAGCAGCAAAATGCCCCTTCTTTCCCTTCAGAGCTGTGCTTTTTCAGGCAATCCCCCTCCCCAGAGCCAATGGCTGAAGGAGTCTGTGGACCTTCCAGCTCCTGAAGGCAGCAGCCGCTGAAGGCTGGATGCTTTTCTGGAAGGACCCAGCTCCTGGATCCTCTCCCTTGCATCCTGTGGCAAGCAGAGAATTAGCTGCTTCCAGGTTCAGCAGAGGGCAGAAAAGGTGAGGGCTAGTTCCTTGGTTGCAGCCTCCTTCACATTTGCGCCTTACCTTTCCCGGGCTTACACACTCTTCCCTGAAGGACAGCCCCTCTGGCCAGCAACCGTGCCCAGCTAGCAGGAGCTCACCTGCCCTCAGGAGGGGGAAGATGGAGCTGATAGAAAGCCACTAGCTTCCACCAGGGGTATCTGCTCCTCTAAGCCATGTGGTTCCATACAATCCCTTTCTTGTGCCATACACGGGTGGGGTGAGCATCATCCTTGGGTGGGGAGCCTGGGGAAGAAGTGAACTGGGGAGGACTTTTAGGGCTCCTTGGGTCAGGTTTGTCACTGAAGCAGTAAGAGTGAAGCAAAGTTACTGCCCATCTCTCCCTACCATGAACAGGAGGAGATTCCACACAGTCAGTGGGTCTAACAGACATACACGGGGTTTCCTGGCTCTGTGCAGGGACAAACTGTCCCACAGAGGGAGATGATAAGGGATGTTACCAAAATTTTCTTTGGCTTTTTCAGCTGAAAATTGTCACTCATGGTCCTCTCTCCCTCCTCCTCATTCCACATTCATCTCAATGTGACCATATCTCAACCATCCTTTCCTTTTCTAATACATCTCTCGACCCCACATTTCCAACCAAGACAAATGGCCATAAGTCATTTGCTTTTCCTGCAAGGAAATGAAAAATCATGTGAGGATCTGCATCCTCTTCCCTCTCCTCCAGAAGTGGCTCAGACCAGGGAATGGATCAGAGTGGTACAGAGCCTATGTTCAGAGCTAGTCCCAAGGGCCTAGTGAAATGCTGCAGCTCCTTCCAGATGGGTTATCACATGAAGACAAAAATTGTTCAGGCCCAGCCAGGAAACAGCCATGCGAGAGTAATGGAGGAGTCCTGCCATCCTGGCACAGAGCCTTCTCCTCTTGGCCCTGCCAGAGGTATAGCTTTAGGAAGAGCTGTACTTGTTACTCAAGCGGGAGCTGCTCCGGTCCACCCCAAGCTCCTGCCCATTGGCTTTCCACTTCCCAACAGAGCCCTTGTCATCCATTGGTGTGATGCTCAGAGTGGATCTCTGGCACCAGCAGCATAGGCAGGACTGTGAGGAGACAAAAGTGGGGAGAGAGAGGTTTCAGGTGTGGGCTACAGGGTAAAACAGGAGGAAATACTCCCTTACTGATGTTGGCAAGTCAACCTGCACAGTGCCAGGCTGGGGATCGCAGCCTGCACTTCTGAACTTTGCTGTCCTGCAGATCTGCTGGGAGCAGGTTTTCCATGATAGGGCCGGTGTGGATTGGAAGCAAAGACACCAAAATCTTGGGTACTTTTTGCAATCGTGTTTTCTTATTCTTGTGGGACAGAAAATACAGGTAATGCTTATCTGGGTTCAGCTCTTTTTGACACAGCATCTAGGAAGTGATTCCCTTCCCATCCGTTTCTATCCCTTCCTTTCTCAGGGCTCCACTACTCCTGAATATTATCTCTGAATAACTTGGGATCAACGTTTAAAGTACCCCTTGTCTCTGGTCTAACGGTTTGTGGGGATGTTTCTGATTCAGAATGAGAGGGACTTTTTTTGCTTGTCCTGCACTGGCAAAAGCATCCCCATCAGAGGGCAGTGAGCTCTGGCATACTGGAAGCTTCAAGGAGAGGCACCTAGCAACGGGAAAAACTGGGAGAAATATGATCAGTACATGAGCAAATGGGAGAGCCCTGTGGGCTGGTAGCAGTTCCTTTCCACTCATCTCAGGAGCAGAGAAGTCCGCTGCAATGGGGGTTCCTCTGTCTGCACTGTCTAGTCCATGAGAGCTTATGCAGGGGTCTAGGAACAGTCACTGTAGCCAGGAGATCTGGAGGGATCAGTCCTACCTGGAAGCAGTTCTTGAATTTCCGGCTGACAAAGTAGAGAGCCACAGGGTTGATGCAGGAGTTGAGGGAGGCCATATTGATCCCGAAGTAATCCATCACAAGGAGGAAACTGAGGCCAGAGGGAAGACAATAGGGTAGGAGTGTTGGAAGCTCACAGAGCAGAGAACTGAGCAGGGTTTCCAAACTGCCTGCACATTGCTTGGCCCAGAGGCCTGCTTCCATGGAGGGCTGGTGACTGACAACATAGAGCTCAGCACAAAACAGTCCCTCCCACAAATGGTCAACTGCCCCATGCTTTTTCTTGCAAGGAGCATTTCCTAAGGAAACCAAATCATGAGATCTGGTTTCCCCTGGTGACTTCGGCATTCTCAAACTCAAGCAAACTCAAGTAGCCATATCTGGTCTGAACTGGATTTTGGTGTGATGGGTACAGAGGAGAGGGGAAGACAGGCACCTACCATGTGTCATAAAGCGTGCACAGACCTCAGATGTGCTGCATCCCCTGTAGCCCTGCAGGGAATGTTTCTCTGCCCAGGAGCCCTCTTTAACCCGTAGCTTTATAGAAACATTTAAAATTTTAATTTCTCCTCTTATAATGGACCCCCACACCCTTTGCTTCTGCCTGGGAGAGCAATGCCATCTAGAATAGGAGATACTGAAATGAAGTGTTTGGAAGGCAACTCCACCGGGCTGCTGTGAGAGCCCACAGGGCCTCCACCAGTGCCCATCAGGACTACCAGCCCGGTGCCCTCTTGCTGCTGTCCTTACCTGAGCAGTTCACATCTGTTGGGGTCTGTCTGGTCATAGATGGTCTTCTTGAGGATGCGGCTGAGGTGGAGCGGAAGCCAGCAGAGCGCAAAGATCACCACTAGGCAGAACACTGTCTTGGCCACCTCCCGGCGCTGCAAAGAGAAGGTGGTCGGGGAGAAGGAGTCTGGCTGAGCATTAGAGTGCAGATGTAGTAAAGCACCATCTCCCCATGCTGAGCAAGGGCCCTTCAAGTAATTTCTGTAGTCTGATGATGCTGGGTACCCATTTTGAGTCCAAAGAACAATCTGCAGGTTCCAAATCCTGTATCATGAAGAAGACTCTGAGATCCAGGCTGCAGTAGTGTGTAGGGTATGAGCAGCACAATATGGACCAGACTCACACCATTGCTCTTGGTGACTTTGCTGGGGTGACACTTCCCGGAACATGAGGAGTATATCATAATCCAGGAGGATACCCATCATCCATTCACTATTCACTCTATATTACTGTGACAACCAGCTGGTCTGCCTCAAGGGATGACTCTGCAAAGGGTAGGAGGGGACAGTAAACTACTCTTTTTCCCGGTACACTTGTCTGTGATAAGGCATATTCAGCATTCAGTCCAGTCTGGTGTGATTTGGGCTGGCACAGCATAGCCAAGGATAAATGACCATAAGAAGCTGGAAATCAAGTTGGTCTGTGGTCATAAGGCTAGTGGTTTGGGATGTCCTTGAAGCTGGGCACTGCAAAGCTGAAGGCCTATCTCCCTTAATCCAGTGTGCCAATATCTGTTGACCACCCTCAGGCTATGTTAGCTCACAGAACCATAGAATCACAGAACGGTCTGGATTAGAAGGGACCTTAAAGCTCCTCCAGTTCTAAGCCCCTGCCATGGGCAGGGACACCTTCCATTCGAGCAGCTTGCTCCAAGCCTCATCCAACCTGGCCTTGAACACTGGGATCCCCACCAGGGATGAGGCAGCCACAGCTTCTCTGTGCTCATACATGTCCTTCACAGCACATGTTCCCTTCAGTAGCTCTCCCTTCTGTTTGGAAGATACCAGTTTCTACCTTCTTGGTTTTCTTACCCGTTTCATGTGGTCATTCAGAGCAGTTCTCATGCCGTTTCTCTTGTTCAACATCTCGCATGACATGAGAGTGTAGAAGATGCCAGTGCATACCAAGGGGAGGCAGAAATAGAAGCCAAAAAGCCACCAGTCTTTCACATCACGGTAGAACTACAGGCAAAGGGAAAAGCAACTGGAAAGTGGGAAAAGGTGAGGGGATAAGTGGGGCATGAGATGACTCAGGCCCTGATGGTGATGCTGGCCCAAATCAGACAGTTCTGATGTGTGGAAGTGTGTCAGCTCCTGTGCTAAGTGCACATATCTTCCCGCAAGGCATGTGTTCTAACATAAAGCAGTAAAGGCTGGTTTACATCTGACTGATAGTCCCAATTAGCACTCTTGTGCAAGAGCCAGTTGCAAGGAGCTCTTGTGTATAAGAGTTTTCATTCCCTTGCTTGCCCTTAGGTGGCCCTGTGATAAAGGATACCCATGCAGACTGGTTGTGGAGACCCTTTTTGGCCTGCTGGGACAGTGAAACAGGTTCTGAAGCTTCCTGAGATATGTCAGGACCTTCTTATGTGGATGGTGAAGACATGATACAGCGTAAGGATGATAAGGTCTGTTTTCTGGCCCCATATTCAAAGCAAGTCTGCCCCTTGCCACTACAGTCCTTTGTCTGATACTGCTCTCCCTCTGCTCACCCTGATGGCTAGAAGAAGCCATATGCAGAACCTTAGATGAAGGTTAGATACCAAGGACAGAAGGTGCTTCTGTTGCCTGTGTCTCCCTCCCCCTTGCAGTACAGCTGGGGTGCAACAGAGTACTTACCATCATGAAGCTGGATTTCTGTTCAGAGGCAAGCATGCACACCCACAGGTGGTGTTCCCAGTAGCTGAGCTCCACCATGTCAAAGGCTATAGCTTCAGGCACTGCAAGCACGATGGCCACTGCCCAGATCAGCATCACCTCCACTGCCTTCCACATGGGGATTCCTATCCCCTGGATCCGACTCCAGGATGCCACTGCTCGGTACCTGCCCAGTGTGGGGAAACACAGCAGGAGTAGATTAGAGTGGGAAAAGCAACTGTCAAGAAGGGGCTGAGAAGGTACAGATTAGAGTTGCTCCCAAAGGCCCTTCCCTTATGCCTTCCTTCTCCACCCTTGAACCTTCCCTTTCAGTGAAATGGGAAAGATCAGATAAAAGGGCTTGATGGCAGCTATCCTTGGCCAACATCTACTTGCCACTGGGGAGATGCCACCCTTCCCCACCACCCCAGCAGTTGTTCCAGCAGATCATGACCTTCCCCTCAACCTTTTCCAGAAGGAGGATATAAACTGTCACCAGAGTCAGTTCCTGTTGGATTTCAACTCTATATGATAGCACTTTGTGCCCACTTCTGAATTTGTCCTGAGACAAAGTTGCCCTCCACACTGTCTTTTAGTTACAGAGTGTGCCTGCTGTAAGTGAAACATGGGTCAGGCTGGGCAGTGCAGCTGTAGAAGTGCTTCTCACCTGTCGATGCTGAGAGCACAAAGGCTGAGGACTGTAATGCCCACCGAAGCCTTCTGGATGAAGGGGACCAGCTTGCACACCTGCACGCCAAAGGGCCAGTCCTTTGCCAAGAGCTGGGGAAGAACCACAGCGTTAACAAGCTGCTTCAGGAAATCACATCTAACTTTCTGGACAGGTAGGTGATTACCCACAAGGTGTGAGAAGCCCACAAAAAGCATCTGAAAGCCCTCTGAGGTTCCCTCACTGGGATTACACAGTGTGTGTTGTTCAGTGTTTTGTGTTGAACTGGGAACCGTTCATTTCCCCAGGGGCTCATTGTCAGGTGTGCTGACAGTTAGACAGAAGGATGGTCCAGACACCAGAACCTGACCCCAAACTCTGAATGGATCTGAATCCTAAACGCTGCAATGGGCTTTGGGTTGCAAGGACAGCTTCTTTTGGTGCTTTCAAAGCCACCCTTACCATACTCTGGCCCTCTACCACACTTAGATTCCTTATAGAACACATGCTGGGGCCCCAGGCTGAGCTGGGGCAAGCAGTGGGTTTCAGTGGGGACAAGATGCTCTGAAGGCAGAAGAAATCCTGGGCATTACCTCATAAGGGTGAGAGTGAACCTGGATTCACAGCCTGACACCTGGAACCCACCCCAAGGTTATCCCTACTCAGAACCAAGCTCTTTAGTTTGGCCTCAGCAGCAAGACAAATCAATCAGGAGAACATGTCTGTTTCAAGCTATAAAACCTATATAGTTTTCAGTCCATTTTCACTTGAAGGGTATCTACTCACAGTGATTTCAAACCCTCTAACAGCCACATCTGGTTGTTCTCAACTTCTTCCTACTTCAAATTTCTCTGCCTTCTCCCCCCAGCATCCAGCCAGCCCGATTCAGAACTCCTCTGGGACCCTGTTTTCACTTTCAAGGCCAACGTGGAGCTCCAATTCCATCTCAGAGCATCACTTCCAACCCTTCATAGAAATCTATGGCTCCAAAAACTCAAGCAGTGGGTGAGAAAGAGGTGTCATAGCTCAGATGCATCTCAAAGATACTGTAACACAACTTCTGCTCTATGCCGAGGTCTCGTTCAGGTCTGCTGCAGAGCTCAGGTTCCCCTGCTTCTATTTTGTGCCTCTTCTCTCAAGTTTAGGAGGCAGTGCTCCTGCAAGAAGTGCCTGGTTTATAATGCAGCTCTCTTCCTTGTTTCAGGAAGAGTCTCCACATTTATCTAAAATAAAAACTATATTTGCTTGAGGCTGATTAACTGAGCTGTACGTTGAGAAGTGCGCCCAGTGCACAAGAACAAGAATTTTTGTTCAGCTGAAATTAACGTTGCGTTGTAATGTCAGAAGACTGCAAGTGATTCTTTTCTTGTAATTTTAGATGAGACTTAAAAGATCTGGAAGGTTGTATGCTTGTGTGTGTCTGCATAATACAGCTGTAGCTGGGAACACCTCTGCTTTCCCAGGAATGTACTCAGATTTTTGTCTGTTTATGTGTTTCTCATATTTGGACAGCAGAAACACCCTCCCTGCTTCCCTTGCCAAAATGCAGTGCAATAAGGAGCAGGCTAATTTTGATGCCTCCGTCCCCCAGGCACAGAGGCAGGTGAGAGCAGATCATAGAATCACAGACTGGTTTGTAACAGAGGGAACCTTAAAGCTCCTCCAGTTCCAAGCCCCTGCCATGGGCAGGGACCCCTTCCACTAGAGCAGCTTGCTCCAAGCCCCTGTGTCCAACCTGGCCTTGAACACTGCCAGGGATGGGGCAGCCACAGCTTCTCTGGGCAACCTCTGCCGGATGCCTCCACTGCAATTGCCAGGCTGCTGCAGAACTCCTGCTGCATGGAACCTACCTTATACACATTGATGGGTAGAGCAATGAGGATGTAGAGCAGGTCTCCAAGTGCCAAGCTGGCAATGAGGACATTTGGCCCATTCCTCATACACTTGTTCTTGTAAATGATCCTCAGGAGTGTGGAGTTGCCAATGATCCCCACTATGAAGATGGTGCAGGACACTATGGTGTTGATGTATTTGAAGATGTGTCTGATATCTGCGGGCTTCAAACACACAGGCAGCAGGGGTGGCTCAGAGCTGGTGCTCCCAGAGACGCTCTCCGAGTGGTTCGACTGCCTGTTATCCTGGAACAGGCTTGGCTGGACCAGGCTGTAAACCTGCTCATGGCTAAGCACCTCAAAGGGGATGGTGCTCTCCTGGAAAGCCCTTGGGGTCTGACTGTGTGCCCCACAGAAGAGGCAAGCCAGGAAAATGGCCAGGGTGGTAGGAGCTGGGATTTTTGCCATTGAGGACTGAACATCAAAGCTGGCTGCAAGAGTCCTCATAATGCTTGTGGGATGCCTCTGCATGGGTCTCAATTGGATCTGCAGATGGAGAGAGGGACAACGGAGAGAACAGGATGAGCAAGGGAAGGATGAACGAGAAAGTCCATCATCACAATGAGCAGAAATAACTCCAGATTAGATCCCCTATGGGCAAAGCCAGACCCCTGCATGTGGGAGTCTTTGCTCCTAAAACTAAACATGCCTGCTCAGTAAAACAAACTACAAGGAAAACAGTCTTTTTATGCCTCTTACGCAGTATTTCAGCAAATGAGGGCACTTGCCTTTTCCAAAATCAGCTCCTGAACCTTCTGATCTTGGTATTGCTGCTCACATGGCAAATATGGCTTCTATTTTATGCCCACCCTACACTTCTCATTCAGTTCTGGCTGAGTGAAGGAGCAGTTCTGGGGCACCTGACCTGTCAACACCAGCACATCTGGGCAATTCCACAAATGCCATCACAGGGTGCACAGACCCAGCAGAACCTTTTCTTCAGTCTGTGTCATGGGAAGTCTGGAGCCACACTAATATCCCTCTCTTCAGCAGAGCCCATGGGCTACCACAGGCCACCTTCCAGTGCAAAGACCCAGCACAGCCTTGCTGGGAACTGTGATGGGAAAACACTACAAGAGTTTTTCCAGAAACGCCCTGTTGATACCTGACATCTTACTCCAACTTATGTGTGAGCAGTAGAGCCCCTCCTTCCCCATCCTCATCATTGTCAGTTGAACCACTTCCTTTCCAAATCCACTGTGTCCATTCAACTTAATACTCAGGGATATGAATCTCCCTGTGCTGTTTGCAGCTTTGACTGCTGAGCACAGTAAGAAGTCTCCCAGGCTCAGCAAGGCTGGAGCACTGCTAATAATTATCACCAGAGTGGGTTCTGCTCAGCCAGTACCTTCTGGCAGGACTAGCTAACTGCTGCTCCACAACCACGGGAGGAAGCTGGGGAGGCTGTAGCACTGTCCTGGCATGATGGGAATTTATGGAAGGGGCTTCTGGATGACCCAGATATGATCACCTGTGGGAAGTGAGCCCGGAGAGGGAGTGGAAGATGTCAGCACCCTGCGAGTGTGTCCCCCAGACAGGGAGAGATCTCGGGTGCCCTGGTTGCAGTGGGTGAAGAACTGTTTCTCAAACTATGAAGCTTTACAGCTTTGAAGGGAGGAAAGACTGCTGTGCTAAGCTAGAAACAGGAGCTTTCTGGTGCTCCCCTGGGATGGGCTCTGCTTTGGAGGAGCCAGTTAGGGGTACCTGCATAGGATTAGAGATGGGACTTCCATCTTCTCTCTGACTCCACCCAGCAGAACTGGGATCTGAGCCCAATCAGCTGTACCCCAGGGATCTGCTTCCCAGGACAATTCAGTCAAGTCACTCCTGAGCTGTAGCACAGTTCCCCCCCACCCCAGGACCAGGGAGACCCCAGGACCAGCAAGGTGGGAGGATGCTGTTCCCACCTTGGTAAGGCTTGGCCAAACGCGCCACCAGTCCCATCAGGTAAAACCACAGCTTCTCTAGATACAGCTGTGCATTCATTGTGTGTTGTGGCCTCAGGATGGGCTTTTTTAAAATGCCTGGGCATGCAGATAGCTGCATGCTGGGAGAAAAAAGGAAGGGAAAGAATGGGTAAATAACCTGGTGGAGCACAGACCCGACTCTGGAGATCTGGGTGCAAATCCCTGCTCTGAGTTGGTGCAGGGACTTTAGTCTGCACTTTTGCTAAGATCCTCAGCTCTCTGTCCTGCCCCAGGCTACACCAAGGGCAGTTGTCTCATGGGTGGATGCCCTGACCGATGCTCTCCTCTCCTCCCCACCATGCCCACAGGATTGTAGCTTATCAGAGAGGGCACGCAGCTCAGAACTCCTGCCTGGGATCCTTGAAGGTCTGGGCAGCTCACAGCGAACACCTTTGGATGGCACAGACAAGTGTGTGCCACTCAGGGCTGCCGGGGGCAGAGGGGTTGGAGAAAGCTCCTCGAGTCAGCAGCCACCAGACTGCCACCACAGCATCCCTGGAAAGTTGTGTCCTGTGCCCTCTGCAGCAGTGGCTGCTGTTATCTGCTCCCCTGACGCAGGACTACAGAGCCTGGTGTGGCTGTTCAGCCCCTGGGTATTTGGCAGAAAAGCTCATGTGAGTGTCACAGGACACGGCTCACTGGACCCTGCCCGTTCCCTTCACAGCACAGTGCAGCACTTCCCCCCCCCCCCCCCCAATCTTGACTTAAAATCAAGCAATTCAGTAAAAGAGAAGCATTGTTTTCTCCTGCTCAGCAGCCCATGTACTTCTTGCCCTCCATGCTCTCGCATCTCAGACTGCTTAGGAGCATAACCCTTCCTCAGTTGGGGGGGAAACTGAGGCACGACAGAGGATCAAGAAGACAGTTCAGTGCCTAGATGTGAAGGCAATGCCAGCATCACTTGACCCCTAATCCTCTGGACTTCGCTCATGTTGCTGATCGTCTGGGGAAGCAACTCGGTGCCTGAAGAGGCCATCCCCATCCCACTTGCCTGGCTGGGGTTCTTCTGTTAGCAAGCAGCTTAGACACATGGAAGTGGAAATGCCCTTTATGTTGTGCTGAGTTCAAACTGCAGCTGAAACCACTGGAGTCAGGATATGAACATTGCAGAATGATTCCCAGAGAGAAGATGAGACTAACAAACACTGTCATAGCCCTGCACAGCTTCTGCCTGAAAGGTGCCATGTGCAGGCGGGGGGGCTTAGGTTTCCTCTTGCCTGGGAGCCCACCACATCCCAGGCAGCATCCTCATCTCAAGCCACCCTCTCCACCACAGCACACAGGGCAGGCTGCCATCAAGAACAGCTCTGCTTGTGCTATTCTGCCAGACTAACCTCACCAAACCCAAACCAGATCTTTTCTGCAAGAAAAAGCATTTATTGCAGCAAAAATGCCATGGGTGGGGGAAAGGAGGGATAAAGGCAGATGACAACACCACATCCCCAGCTGCTTCCCTGACCAGACCCCAGTCTGGTCCGTAAGCAGAAGGACCTCCCCCCCCCCGCCCCAGACAAGGTGTGCTGGATTTCATCTTGTCCATCCTCTCCCTGTCCCTGCTCAGGCACCATGGTCCAAGTTTGGGAGCTGAGAGGGGGGTATCTGAGGAACATGCAAAAACTCACCCTGACACGAGAAATCACCTTGTTCGCAAATCACCATGCACACAACAGCAAAGTTTCTCAATGGAGTTCAGTCACCTTCCTTGTGACCACAGACTTCAGGTGCTTCTGGGATCAGCTTCTTTCCCTCTCACGGCTCCTTCCCACTTCACAGGCTGCTGGGCATGTCCTGCAGGTCCCGGGACAACTGCAGTGTTGTAGATCCTGGGGCTTGCTGTTGCATATGGGCTCGTGCTCAGGGGAATGTTTCTTCCCTCTCACGAGTTGCTGAGGTCTCTCTGAACGGAGGGGTTGGTTATATACAACATCCCAGGGCTCCCCCCGAGCCCAGCCCCTGTGACCAATGGGCGAAGCGCGGGACAGGGATGGAGGAGGGTGAAGCAGGAGAACCGCAGCGCTGCCCTGGGAAGGAGGCGAAAACAGTCAACAAGGAAAGCTCGAGAGGGAGGGAGGCAGCGGGGGAAGCTGCCGGCCACAGAGCAGCCCCAAGGCTGAGCTTTGGGGAAGGAACCTGCATCCCTGACCACCTTCAGAGAACAGAGACATCAAAGGCTTCTCTGCCCAGGGTCTGTGGGGGCAGCTGCTCCATTTGGAGCTTGTGAGGGAATGCTGGGGAGCAAGGAAGGCAGAGGGGACTCGTGGTTTCCATTCCAGCAGACAGCAGAGTGTAACAAGTCCTTCCTGAGGTGCTGAGGAAAGACAAGCCTCACTTTTCCCTCTGTTGGTCTCCCCGAGCCCTGCTGTAGGTGAGCAGGCTGGGAACAGGTTTCAGACCATGCTCTCATCTGCAAGCAGCTGTGCTGTTGTCTTTTCACATGGCAGCTCTGGGGTCTTTGCTGTGGTTCCTGAGCACCCTGAGCTGCCTGAAGAGCAGTGTCTGATGGCTCAGGATGCAGGGCAGGACCTGAGCACTGGTGCTGCTGTAGAGTCACACCAGCCTCCCCCATCCACTACACATCCAGTCCGGCCTCTGGGCACTGTCCTGGCTTGAAGACTCCTCTCTGCTCTCCACCTGCCTTTGAACAAGAAATCATGAGCAGTGACTTCATGAGATTCCTCTTGTCATTCTCCAAACCATATGATCCTGCAGACAATTAGTGCTGCTGCACAGCCTGCAGACAAACCTTCTCCCAGCCTCCTGGGCTGGTGTCTTTAAAGGGCATCAGGAGGTGATCTCCCACCATTCGCTAAGGGAGGCTACCCCTCTGCACCCTTACACTCCCAGACAGGTCAGGAAATATGCACCTCAAATAGCCCATCCCCACCCAGGGCAGAAGTCACGGCATCTCAGGCGGTGCCTCCTTTAATCCTGTGGCTGGTTTGAAGGGCTGCAGCTTTTCCTTAGCTCTTTCCCCAGGGTTCATGAGCCCACATGGCACCCCTCCTGCTGACCCCACTGGAGAGGTATCCTGCAGCCCTATTTTGGGACAGTCATGTTTCTGCATGTGACAGGGGAATGAATGGGCCTTTATTTTCTGCTGGATTCAAAGGAGGGCTCCAGCCCCCTTCAGAGACCCCCAGAAAAACAGCAGTTTCTTATACAGAGTCAAATAGTGCCCTTGAAACACAACTCAGCTTCAAGGCTGATGTCAAGAGTCACTTAAATTATCAGAATGAAGAAATTAATCTGAAGCAAGTCAGGGTTCAATCCAGCAGCAACCAGCAATGCAGCTCCGTGCAGGCAGGCAACAGCTCATGAGGTCTGTTTTGCACAGACTGCCCTTAGGCTTTGAAGACACATCAAGTATAATTAATTTGGTTTTCTGCTGCCAGCTGGGTTGCCATTCAAATGCAAGCAGCATAGAAGATGGTTTGGCAAGACTGGCAAGTCCCGAGCATGGCAAGCTCAGAGGAGCCAGAGCTCAGAAAAACACCGACTCCTCATTGATATATTAGATGAGGAGACTGATTCTTTGTCTTCATACTACCTTTAAGCCTGGTCAATTGATCTGCAGCCTGGAGCTAAGATTTCAAACATACTCTCAAGTCCTTGAGAAAGCATCTGGATGAGATTCTGCTAAAGACCATCATCCATCTGTCAGTGTCTCCTGCTAATGCTTCAGTCATACTTGTTGAGAAGATGGACAGATCTGCATTGCAATGAAATACCACAAACTTATATATCACAAGAAAGAACAGACAGCTTTTGCTTTGAGCTGCTGGAAGGATGTGTTCTGAAAACTTACCTTTGCAGGCAAACTTCAATGGCTTCTACAGTTTATTTTGTATGCAAGCAGCTAAAGTGGAAACATCGCATTTTTGCACTGGGTGTAGCTGTCTCAAGTACCTCATTCATCTCTACGTCCAGTGCTCATCATCTTACATCCTTTTGTTCCTCTTAGCATAGGCTTTGGATCAGCTCGTGGCCATCTCCTTCAACAGCCTTATGCCCTTCCCTAGTCCTACCTGACCTACCCTGTGATTCTTCAGTATCACAAGAAAAAGAGCTAATAGGTAAACCCTAGGAAGCATGAATTTCTTATGTCACAGCAAAGATCTCGTGAATCAATGCAACTAAGAGTGCTTCCATGATGGAAGAGGTAAGATGAAGTGAATGGCAAACAAGTTTTGGGCTGTTTGTGCACTCTGGGACTGTCTCGGAGCAGGAACTTTAGGTCTAGCATTCCCAGTTTGGAATACTCATTGGAATTAGTTCCCAGAGCTCTGAGCTAAAGCGGAGTTTGTTCCTGGCCTGTGAGCTGCAGCCCTCCTGCTCATCTTGGAGTAAATCATCCCATGCATGACTTTGCCTGGGAGCTAAGGTTTAACTGTTCAAAGCTGCAACACCAAAGTAAAGCCAAATCCCATGATACTGTGTCACAGCAAGAAATCAGCTTCCTGGTGTGATCAGCCTATCTCTGTGGTGCAGAGAGAGGCACAGATTGGGGCATTCATCCCTTTTGCCAACTGTGGGAAGATGTTGATGGCTTTTGAGTCAAAGCCATTGGAACAGCAGTCCTTAAAGCTTTGAGAGAAAAACAATCCCTTCTGCTTTAAGGCTGAATCAATGCATTTAACATGCAGGCAAATAAGTTTGGAGCTGTCCCACAAAGAGTCAGTTGTGCTCTGTTTTTTTGTGTGTGATCGCATGAGAGGTATCAGATCACACAGGTGTGGTCTTCTAGCAGAGAGATATCTGAAAGAATTGTTTAAGAGGTTCATTTTAGACCCTGCTTATTTATGGACCCATTCACACTCTTTCCCCCTCCTGCAAAATGAATGCAGATGTTTATTCAGGCCTGGGCTGGAGGTGGCTGTCAGAACCTGAGGGTGCTGATTGGTCTTAATGGCCTTGAGCAGTCTCACCTGGGCCCTGGCATCCTATACCAGTTCAGCTCTAAAAGCCTTCCTCTCAGCCCTAGCTGTGCTCTGCTTAGTTCTGTTGAGCCATGCCCTGATCTCAAAATGTGCCTATTGCTATGAGCTTACCCACTGATTTCAGCTCTTGGTTGGACCTGGCTGCTTTCTCTAGCCCTGCCCCGCTTGCCTTGATCAGGTACTGTGGGGCAGGTCCTGGCTGGTGGGGCTCTGTCTCACTAGGTGGGATATCCCTTTGGCTCCCTGTCCTCGAGGGAGCTACTGGTCTTTGTGGTTCCCTGGTGAGGGGTTGGTGCTTGTGTGTGGTAGGGGTGCACCTCAAGGAGCAGACATGTGGGGAAGAGTTTTGTGGCTGAGTTTGGGGTGTCGTGGAGGGAGCTTATCTCTGCAGGGAGAAGCTATATCCAAGTTTGCCTCCTGAGCTCACCTTTAGGAAGGAATGGGAGTTACCACAGGGACCATCTTGTTGCATGTTACAGCTCCTTCCCATCCTCTCTTCCCTCCCATTTCCTTTGTCCTCCTGCCCTTCTGCAGTGCTTTGGTTGCCTCCACTCCTTATATCTTGCAGCCAGCATTTCCTTTATGCTGCTGCTGCTGCCTGAGAGGTCTGGAGTGCTGGAGAACTGCTCTGGCATCTGTCCAGGGGTGCTTTTCATTCTGGTCAGGCTCTCCAGTGCTACTATCATTTTGCTGATTTACGTTCTCATATCCTTCACTCCCTCCAGGCTGGTTTCACCAAACTTTAACCCCTGGCACAACCAGCATAGCAATGGACAATAAAGAGAGCAAATGATGGTGCCAACACCTGTCCTGCCCTTTACTTGTCCCCTTTCTTATGGGGAGTCTGAAGAGATGCTCCTTTTGCTTGGGAAAGCTTCGAAGCAGTGGAATGAAAAGTCCTACTTTCCCCATATACTTGTCAATCATCCCTCCTGACCTGTAGCAGTCTAAAAGGAGCTACAGATAATCTTGTGTGTAGCCCCAACTACAAAACCTCCAGGAATTCCCGGGTAGATCCCACCAAATCCTCCTGATGTGCTCTTTTGCAAAGGGCTAGAAAATAGCAATTGCTTGAGTACTTGCATCTGTGTGTATGATTCTGTGTTTGGAGCCACATCCCTTCCCACCAGTCAGGATGGGTGGTTGGAGGAATGGGTTGTTTAAAACACATGGGGTGCTGGGATCTTCTTTCCCATTTGAGGAGGGAATGTCTCAGAAGGCATCTCTGCACCGCAAAGCCAGATCACTGCTGTTCCCATGAGTCCAAGATGACTCCACACTCTGTTTCTTTTCTTGTAACTTCTCTTATCAGTTGGGGCCAACTGAAGTCAAGCTGTCTGGGGACAAGAGGGCATTTGCAGTCCCGCTTCTGAGGCACAGAATGTTTCATGACAGTAGTCACAAATAGAAAGGGATGCTTGCCAGCTCCTTCTCTTTGACAGTTGTCCTTTCTGTCTGAGGGTCCATGTGTGTACGTGAGTTTCTGCTTGCCATTTGATGAATTGGGGCTTTCAGTGAGCAGAAGCCTCTTGTCATCTTCAGATTCCTTAGAAGACAGCCCTGATTGGAAGCTATCAGAGTTCAGAATAACTATACTACTCATGGGTGGAGGGAGCCTTCAAGGAAGTCTCAGAAACGGTGGGCATCTCTACTCCAATGAAGTTGCTGAAACTAGTGTGAATGGAGGATGTTGATGGAAAGCAGACTTGTTTCTTCAGAAATCCCTCAAATCTTGAGGATTCTCCAGAAACAGAGAAGAAGCATCTACCAGGCTTAGAGTGGTGTTCAGACCAGCTTAGCACTATTGGTGGGATATGAAGGGCTGAGAGGAGTTTGGACTCCTCTGGGTTATTGCTCTTGAAATAATTGAAGATAATTATAAAGATTAATGGCTTCTTCCTGAGGAGCCACCAATGCAAGTTTCATCTCCTGCAAGTACTGTTGACCTTTCCAGGAAATGGGAATGAGGAAATACAGCAGGAGATAGATTGGGTAAACAATATGTAATTTAGAGTCTTTATGAGAAGAGCAAGATTGACCTACATTCAACCATACCACCCCCCTCACTGCTGCTTGCAAGCAATGTTAG